GTGTACTGTAGCTGTCAGTGTTGCCCAAAGAGCGGTGCGTCACCAAGCCGAGGGGAACCCCCCGGCTGAAGAGATCTGGGTTGCGCCATGGCCTCAGAGCTTCGATGCAGCCGCGGGAGACTGCGATGCGCAAACGGCCCAAAGTCCACGCCGTCCAAGGGACACGAGATTTCAACCATAATTGTAGGGGGCGCATGTGTAGTAAGCCCAGATGACATACCGCTGTAGCAGACACCATGAGCCCCAGCAGCCTCTGAAATTCCTTCAAGTGAACAGTCTGAAATGGCGCAGGGAAGACAAAATGGCCGCCGAGCGCTCCCGAGAGAGGCAGGCTCTCATCTCCACCGAGTCGAAGCACACTCCCAGATATGTTATAGACTGACTCGGGGCGAGAATGCTCTTCTGCATGTTGACACATAGCCCTAGGGACTCCAAGTGACGAAGCAGCATGTTTATATGGCTGAATAGCGTGTCCCGGGACTGAGCTAAAATCAGCCAATCCTCCAGATAGTTGAGAACGCGCATCCTGCTCGCTCTGAGGGGGGAAAGTGCTGCATCCATGCACTTCGAGAAAGTGCGCGGGGCCAAAGCCAGCCCGAACGGGAGAACAGAGTATTGGTATGCTGTGCCCTCGAAAGCAAACCTCAGAAAGCGTCTGTGATGCGGTGCTATCTGAATGTGAAAGTATGCGTCCTTTAAATCCACGGATGCAAACCAGTCCCCGGGGCGAATTTGCCCCAGGATTTGTTTCAGCGTTATCATCCTGAATGGACGCTTGCAAAGCGCTCTGTTGATGGGCCTGAGATCTAGAATCGGGCGGAATCCCCCGTCTCTTTTGGGTACCACGAAATAGCATCTGTAAAACCTGCTCTCCAGCTCGCTGGGAGGGACTCATTCTATCGCTCCTTTTTCGAGCAGACTGCATACCTCTTGTCTCAGAACTAGGGCGTTTCGGGGCAATGTTAGAGACTGCACCACGCCATTGAAACGGGGTGGTCTGCGTCTGAATTGAAGGGTATACACACGCTCTATCACACCGAGTAGCCAGCGCGAGATTCCCGGAATAACTTCCCACGCGCTCAGAAACTGACATAGTGGCTTTAGCGGCTTGGTCGTTGGATGCGCCGGCGAGTGTGTGGGCGGCGGCTCTGCACTGCTCTGAGGCGGGGCGAGCGCCACCGCACTGACTGAGTGAGGAGGAAACAACTCTTTTTGTGATAATGTATGCATTTTTATTGAATGAACATCCAACACACACGTTTGATAACATGAACTTGTGGTGCTTGGGAGCCGGGCCGCTCAGGCACTCTCCTCCTCTCTTCAGACCGTCAGGATGATGGCTTAGCCAGCGACGGCGGGTGAGAGTCACGTTGCGGGCTCCTCCGCTGGCCATGGCGTTTCCTCCCAGGACCCCACGCCTTCCTCCGGAAATCCGGCTCCTGGCGAGGAGCAGTAACGTTAGTCGTCACCGCTGTGGTTGCTGGCCTGGGGTTATCCCTCTGCTGGGAAGAGCCAGGTGCCGACGAGGATCTGGATTTCGCCGTCTGCTGCTGGAAAGCGCGCCTCGGCATTACGTGACTCATGGCTTTGGTGCGCTTTTGAGCCTCCGCGAAGCGCTCAGGAAAAAATGGCCTGTGTGGCAGAGTGGACGCGCGCTGATTGGGTCGCAGACCATGTTTTCACCAGCTGCTCATGCACATCGGGGAAAAAGGGGACCGACGTCCTCGAGTCAGCTTTCCGGGTGGGCCTGAAATACCAGGAGTCAAGTGTACTCCTGACAGGCTCCTCTGGAGGACTCCAGGTAAGCTCCAACTCCTGGACAGCCCTTGACAGAACCCTCATGAGCTCCTCCTGGAGGTCTGGGGGCCCCATGCTGTCCGGCTGATCGGACTCCGATCCCGCCCAATCCTCCCTCTCCAAGGCCGAGATGGACATCGAGTCATCCCCCTCCTCCTGGCTAAAGGATACAAACTCCGCGATGTTGGCAGGAGGGCGGAAGCAGTCCTTGGGGAGTGAGACCGGGGAACGGGGCGACCGTTGGGGCTGGTGGAGCGACAAGATGACGCTCCCGTCACCGGGAGGGCCCTCGGCCAGGCCCAGGCAGGCGACGCAGTAGTCGTGCTGATCCGGCAGCTCTATCGGTCCTGCGCAGATCTTGCAGATTGTTGCCATAGTGAATTCAACAGGTGAAGTAGAAGATTCTGACGTAATTGTCACATGCACCACATTTTATACTGCCTCTCGAGCTTGTCAGTATTTGCATGCGATTTGCATACTTCGCGTCAATAGGCCAGTCATTTGGACTGGCGGGAGCCAATAGGACTTCAGGAAAGGTTGGAAGGGAAGGAGTTCCCATAACGGAGAAATATCTCTGTGATGTCTCGTGAAAGCTCGAGATGGAACTACAGTTTTAAGGAGAAAATACTCAACAATGGTGTTGATTAATAGATTGGCACATGGTTCGTCTAAAAGCATATTAAAAACACCACATAGACAAATAAACAACATAAAACTTGATTTTCACTACAGGGGGACTTTAAGTTCACTATTTAAATGTACTGTTTAGTAAATTTTTATAACAAATACACAATAATTTATTATTCCCAATTCTTAAGTCTAAAGACTAGGCCCCAGATATATAGGCTATGTAAAAAAAAAATATAAAAAAAAAAAAATATATATATATATATATATATATATATATATATGTACATATTTATCAGTGGTTAAATTGTGGATGCTATAGAGTTACATTTGAACCTATAAATCCTAAAGAGGAACCAGGGTAGACTCAATACTGAATTTACTCCTGTCAAAAATTTTATATGACACAAGCCTGGCGATTTCTTTGCCTATTTATTTTTTTTGCAGACACTTCACGATTTGTTCATTAAAATTGTAATGGTTTTGCTCATCCAAAATAAAATAAATAATAAAATAATAAATAATACAAAAACAAATAGTGATTTTTAGTTGTTGACACTAGACGACCTTCATTGACGCCTCATGTATTCTTCTCCTAGCTACAGCCACAGACTATAGAATACCCAAGAGTGTAGTTTTGAATGTGGAAAAAGAAAAATGCAACACTCAATATGGCCGCTCTATCGAACGAAGCCCCGCCTTCTGAGCAAAAGAGCCAACCGCTAATCGGTAAAGTCAGCGCGTCACTGCAGCCGCCGTTAGAAGTCCCGGTTGCTATAGAAACAGTCAATGCTCTGAGACGTGTGGTTAGGACTGGACTGAGCATGCGCACTGGCTGATCTAGCCTGAAAAATAAGCCTTTTTAATGCTATTTGAGCAAAATAAACAACATTTATGATACAGTTGTTGTCAGATTTCATTGGTGATTTCAAATATGAAATTTAATCGTAAGCTTAGTGAACAGTTTTGGAGAATTTGATGTTTCCCCACTCAAAGAGATAGGAGCTGCACTTGCATGCCCGAGAGGCGTTTCAAAGATGGCCGCCGAGGGATATGACTTAAAGGGATAGTTCACCCAAAAATGCAAATTTGATGTTTATCTGCATACCCCCAGGGCATCCAATGACGCTTTTCCACAGCATGGTACGGCACGGTACGGTAAGGTTCACTTTTGGGGGGTTTTCCACTGGGTACAGTACCCGGTACCTGGCACTTTTTTTAGTACCACCTCGGTTGAGGTTCCAAGTGAACCGTACCGTTACCAAAACGTGACGTGACGTGTAAACTCTGCTGATCACGGATTGGCCGGAGAGAATTGTCACTACCTGCGTCACTGAACCTGCAACACAAACACAACAGAACCGCTAGATTCAAATCAGCACAGCCAGCAAAGGATCGAACGTAACTGTTTTGAACGAGCGCACCTTTTTTAACAACCAAAAAGTGGCTGTTTCGCGGTCTGTTGAGGAAATACAGACGTTCCTCTCGTTGATAGCAAAGGAGCGGATCCAGCGAGAGCTTGATGGGGTAAGGCAGAATTCAAAAGTTTTTCAGGAGTTGCGGCAGTAGAGGCAGCGCAACTATAATGACATGTGAATAATCCCACCCACTCTAAAGCGGTACTGAACTGCAGTGGAAACGCAAACCGAGCCGAGCCGTTCCGTGCTGTACCGTACTGAGCCGTGCCGAGCCGAGTCGTACCACGCAGTGGAAAAGTGCCACAAGATGTAGGTGACTTTGTTTCTTCAGTAGAACACAAATGGAGATTTTTAAGTCAAACCGTTGCAGTCTGTCAGTCCTATAATGTCAGTGGATGGGAATCACGGCTTTGAGAGTCATAAAACATACACAAACAAGACCAAATTAAACCCTGGGGCTGGTGATGGCGCGTGAGGCGTCTTCCTCTTCAGAGATTGAGATTGTAGATAGAGTGTCAATGGTCCATTTGAGAGATAGGTGGCGGTAATGCACTTAAAAGTCTGCGATCCGCCGTAAAGCATGAAGAAGAAAAAGACGCCTCATGTGCAGGCTGAAGAAGAAGACGCGAACGCGCTCAGGACAGTTCAGACATTGCGGTAAAAATCAGAGGTAAAAAACTATATAAATACTGTTCAGTTTCTTGCACAGACCGATCATTTTGTGTCTTTTCACATCAATGTATCATCACCAGCCCCAGGGTTTAATTTGGTCTTGTTTGTGTATGTTTTATGACTCTCAAAACCATGATTCCCATCCACTGACATTATAAGACTGACAGACTGCAACGGTTTGACTTAAAAATCTCCGTTTGTGTTCTACTGAAGAAACAAAGTCACCTACATCTGGGATGCCCTGGGGGTTACCAGATAAACATCAAATTTGCATTTTTTGGTGAACTATCCCTTTAAGGGACTTTGCTACAGCTCGACCAATCATCAACGCGAATGCCGTAACGCGTTTTTCCGGCATTGGGAATCCACCCAGCCTGCTCGAGGCGACCATGGCGCAAGATTTGAAAGGTAGGATTTCTTTTGCTTTCTTCAAATAGCGAACAGTGCTATTAAGATGCACGCCCCAAACACACTGCAACGAACAAACGTGCGCTTTTAAATACTGTTATACTAGGGAGCTTTTAAATAGTTAATAACATTACTCGTGTGTGCAAGTGACACTAAGTTTAAGGTTTAAGGTTACAGTAGTTTCTTAAGGAATAAACATTATGGAGCCCCTTACGTATGGTTTAAGATTGCAGGGTGTCTTGCAAACTTTCATGGGAGGACCTCCAGGCTCTGTGCCGCAGAGAAAGACTTGTTTGCAAACAGCTGAGTGTGACAAAGAACAACTTTAATGACTATGAAGTGGAGTATCTGTGTAACTACAAAAAACACAAGGTGAGATATTAATCACGCATCGTATGTACCACTGTGATCTAGTCATTTGTGGCTCCAACTGTTTCTCCAAATTTACATGATTCATATCACTGTAACCTTTAAAATATGCCTGTTCAGGGTCGAGAGTTCTTCCTGGTCAAGTGGAAAGGCTACACGGAGTCAGAAAACACATGGGAGCCTCTCAAAAATCTTAAATGCCCCATACTGTTACACCAATTCCGACAAGACATGAAGACGGCTCTGCTTGAGGCCAACAAACCGCTTGATTCTGAGTCTTTAAGTGCCCCTATATTCGCCTTCCTTCTCCAGAGGGCCAAGCAACGTTTGAAGCTTCAGAAATGGGAAGACCTCATGAACCAGACCTGCAAGCAGAAGGGCCGCATATTCATCTGCAATGAGGTCGACCTGGACGGGCCTCCTAAGAACTTCATCTACATTAATGAGAATAAGTTAGGGAAAGGAGTGAATGTGAATCCAGTGATAGTGGGCTGTGAGTGTGATGATTGCTTCTCTCAGCCGGTTGATGGCTGCTGTCCAGGGCTGCTGAAGCATCGGAGGACATATAATGACAACAGACAGGTGAAAGTGATGCCCGGTGTGCCTATCTGGGAGTGTAACTCCAAGTGCAGATGTGGACCAGACTGTACAAACAGGGTTGTGCAAAAAGGTATTCAGTATGATCTATGCATCTTCAAAACAGCCAATGGCAGAGGTTGGGGAGTGCGGACGCTGCAGAGGATTTACAAAAACAGCTTCGTTATGGAGTATCTTGGAGAGGTAAGCAAGTTAAAGGGATAGTTCACCAAATAAATGTCATTCCAAACCTGTTTAAACACCAAAAATATTATATTTAATATATTAAATATATTCATATGTAATATATTAAATCTGACAAAAGGTATTTTGAAGAATGCTTTAACTGTTTATGTCTATACAATGAAAGTCAATGGGGTCCAAAACAGACAAAAAATGGTACAGATATTTTTCAAAATACCTTCTTTTGTGTTACACAGAAGAAAGTAAGTCATACATGTTTGGAATGACATGAGGGTGAGTAAATGATTACAGATTTTTTATTTTAATTTATTTTATCCCTAAAAAAATTTTTATTTAGATGAATCCTGTTCTGTGAATGTTGTTTACTGACCTGCTGTCAGCTGTTTGTTGCATCAGATCATCACGACAGAGGAAGCAGAGAGGAGAGGAGTGGTGTACGATAAGCAAGGCGTCACCTACCTCTTTGATCTGGACTATGTGGATGACGTCTACACCATCGATGCGGCTCATTATGGAAACATCTCTCACTTTGTCAACCACAGCGTGAGCACTAACTAGCTGTACACATCATCTGGGCTCTCTATCAAGTAATTTGGAACAGATTCTTGTAAAGTGATTTTTATTTATAGAAGGTATGTTGCATGAATATGTGTTTTCTTGATATTAATTGTTAACGAATTCTGGCATTATAGTAACCTGTACTGTAAATGTAAATGTTTATGAACATTTAAAAATAACAGTAATAAAGAAGAATAATTTGAGTATATGAGTAACATGAAACAGTAATATGAATAATATGAATATTTCATATGAGTATAACATAATAATAAAGGATAACTCATAAGGAATATACTGTAAGAATGAATATGAAAAATATAAAACATAACCACATTGGAATTTCGCATACACCAGATATTAAACATTAACATTGATGATAATAAGAAATCATGATTTCTGCAGGCTCATGTGACACTGAAGACTGGAGCAATGTCTGCTGAAAATTCATCTTTGCCGTGACAGGAATAAATTAAAATCTATTAAATAGAAAATAGTTGCTTATCCTGTATATTTTTGGTATAAATAAAATTGATATATTAATATTATAACTTAAAACTTCACAAAGCATGAAATTAATAAATATTTCCATTGTTTTTCCAGTGCGATCCAAACCTGCAAGTGTATAATGTTTTTATTGATAACTTGGATGAGCGCCTTCCCAGAATTGCATTCTTTGCAAAACGAGGGATCAAAGCAGGAGAAGAGCTCACCTTTGACTACAAAATGACTGGTAGGAAATGTTTTAATTCTTTAGTTTTTTTTCCCCTACATTTTTAGGCGTGGGACTATTTATAAAGAAAAGATAAACCATATTTTATACACAAACATTTGTAGTAAATGCCTAATGAGTACTCCTCATTTTTGCTGCAGTTGATCCAATAGATGCAGAGAGTTCCAAAATGGATTCAGAATTCAGTCGGGCTGGAATTGAAGGATCACCCATCAAACGGATCCATATGGAGTGCAAGTGTGGAGTAAAGACCTGCCGGAAATATCTGTTTTAATCCAGCTCACACACAATCATGTGTACTATGACAGGCATCAAAATACATGTCAAGATCTTAACACATTTCATGATTTATTTATTTATTTTTTTGTATATGTTTATTCTTTTACTTTGTGTGTGTGTGTGTGTGTGTGTGTATATATACTGTGTGTGTATATATATATATATATATATATATATATATACTTTTTAATTTTTTATGTGTGATGCTTGGTGGCTTTTATTAATTCAGTTAATAATTATTTAAATCTATTTTCAGCACTGTTTTAATAAAGTAACGTTTTCCCACAATGATTATACCTGTTTTATGTTCTTTTATCAAGTTAATAAAATAGAACTTTTGATACTATACAAGGTGATACGGATTCTCTCGTCAAGAATGTTGCTTACCTTTATAGATGTCTATTTGCCACCTGATGGTGCTATTGTATTCATAACACCTTACATTTAATGTAAAGCAAATTTATACAGATAAAATAGTTATACACACCAAAAAAAAAAGTCTACACCTCGAAAGGTCTAAAGTTTGTGAAAATTACAAAGATAACCATGTCAGAGTTGCAGATTAGAAATATAGGTGGAAACAGTATGTACATCAATTTCTTTTAAAGTTACAGAAGGATTTTGTATGATTGTTCCAAAAATGTGAACTGTAGACATACAAGGCTCTTGTAACACATACAGCTGTCTCTATCCATGTAATATTCAGTATATATAGCTATAAAGCTACAAGATAAAAAGCAATAATGTGTGCAGTGAATATGGGAGAGGCTGCAGCAGAACCTTACAGATCGAGTCATCTGGCCTCGCTTGATCTGTGGCCTGAATCCCCAGCTTGGGCCAGACAGACAGTCAGCTCAGCTCAGCTTTAACCTCCCATGGGGAGGTGAGATTCCTCCAGGCCAGCACTTTTTCTTGTCCCCCTCTCTCTCTCTGCTGTTGTAGTCTTCCTTCCTGCTATCATTCTGTTCATTTATCTATCCATAGCTCTTTTTCACAGTTATCTTCTCCCCCTGTATAGAACCTGCTTATAGGTTACTCATATATATACACAACATCTGGATATTCTCCTCTTTCCTTCCACCATGAGTCTGAGTGCGAGTGGTTGCTTTATTGGATTTGCTGGATTTGCTGTGGATCAAACCTCACTAAGCGCAGACTGGCAAACATTAATCAGTTGACCTCACACACATATGGTCTGAGCATCTAACCATGGCCAATCTCACGCCGAGTGGACTAATGTTCTCCCACTTTCAATGCTGCTCATCACTGGAACTTCAGATTACAATATTAATGAGGTGGCCATAGAAACATCAAGCCTGCTACAATATGACGTTATTAGAGGCTCATGCAAACATTCTGTAATTGGAAGGATCAGAGGAACATTGTGAAGACCTGAATGAACAGATTTGTTTTCTCATGATGATTTCTCATGAAAATCGGATGTAAGGTTAATCTAAACTGTTGATCTATGAAGGGGAAATGCCCATCCTGTTTAGTTCACTGTCACTCTGACACATTTTAGCTGACTCACTCTGACCCTTCTGCAGTGCGGACCATCAGCCATAAATATCAGGCAGATTAAGGTCAAAGGTCAACTCATAATCCAAGCGGTGTGCCTGCGAAATGGCAAAATTCAGGATACAGAACAAAATAACAAAGACTCTAAAACTCAATCAAGAATATTTCTTACTGTACTGATTAAAAGGTCACACAAAATTAGGAGTCAAAAATGCAACAAAAGTAAACTTTTATTGTCATGTTGGGAAAAAAAATCCTGTTGATTTACAGATCAAGATATCTGAAAGCTGACTCGGGTTTCCTCCTCATTTCCCCCCTGCAGTTTTTCCTTTACCCCCTTCATTCATCATGCATTCACAAATAAACAACTCCCGAGTTGCTCAACTAAAATTTCAGTCCGATGAATTTCATCCCATGATAGATAGGTGCTGTCTATTGCTCTTGTAATAGTTAGCTGTATGAGTGGCTTGCCATATTGAAGCTGTTTCTCATTCAGATTTTTTCATTCTTTCAGCAGTTCAGTGAGCCAGCATGATAAAATCACATACTCATTCATGTTCAGATATTATGATTTGGCAATTACGAGAGATTAATCAGAATCATAATTTTATGATCAAGTCAGGCACTATCAATAATTAATATAAAAGGCAAAAAATTAAGACACAGGTATAAGTAAAACTTACCACAAATCAATTATGCACCAGGCTTTGCCTGCAAATTAGATGCATTATTTAGAATAATTAAACTCAAATTCATTTTTGTCTAATACAGCTTATCAAAATGGATGTCATGGTTTCACCTCATCATATCCAGGGTTCTTCTCTTTTCTTTAATTTGTTTACCTAAAAGTATGCAGTTCTTTGTGCACAACCGTTAGTTTGATAAATTCTGGGGTGAAAAAGACCCCAGAATTGCAGATAAAATAAAAAATGATTGATTCGCTAAATTGTTAACACTAAAATGGTCAATTGCTGATTCAAATCCAAGGAGCAACTTGAATATCAACATTCATTAGCCGCATATAATTCTAATTGATCAATTTTTTGAACAAAAATTATTTATTTATATTCAGCAATCATTGTAAGGCTGGAATTGCCAAACAATGACTGATGTCTGTTTTCATGAAGGTGTCAAGATGTGGTAAACAAGATGCATTCCTTTTTGAGTGTTGGTTATGATCCATATTCCCAGTTGATTTGAATCAGCATTATGTCTTGTTTAAGGCTCAGCTCTTTGTAATCTTTACAGTTGTGTTGTATCAATGAAAACGGAAGTTTTAGTGGATCAACTACAGGAGTGGTTCCTATCAGATGCTGTGTCTCTGACCTTTCACCTTTGCTTTGTTTCTCATGAGTACCCAGTTCCATTAACACACTCATACTCAGCGTAAACACTCACACACACACACACACACATGCGTGGTAAAAAGATGACGATCAAGGGTCGTAACCCCACCCTTCACTCTGCCCCCCACTTGAAGTTAGTGCGTTGTCCATATAATACACATGAAATTACACAGAGGTTCACAGTTATTTTACAAAAGATAAGATGCCTGAAGCAACTAAAAATGTTCTACCAGGCATTTTTGCTCGTTACAAAATCACATCTGTTTCACCCAACCCTAACACCGACCCAAGCAATTTCCTATTCACAAGTGAATACAACAATAGCCCAAACGGTCATTCACATACTGTCCCCCACCCCAGTCCCACCCAAAGACAAGAAGAAGAAAAAGTCTCAAAGAAATCCTTAAGAATCCAAGAAGTTCCTTTTAATTCCACTGAAAATCAATGTGTGTCTCTGTGTCACGTTTTTGTTTCTTCGTAAATTCAAGTCTCTCCAGAGAACTGAGCAAAATTGTACACTCCCACGTGTCGCAGTTCGCAAATTCAATAATGAAGCCGATGCAGCCGTCTTTTTACCCACAACCTGTAGGCTTGTGAAGGGCAGAGAGATGTGTCCTCTGATAATCCACAAATACACAGTGTTGTGTTTTCCCCAGCATATGTTTTAGTATGATTTCTTGGTGTCTATAGAAGCATACAGCTTTCAGATCATTCTTGCATTGGTAACATTAAACCTTGGTAATGGAGTAAGGCATAAAATGCAAATAACAGAAAGAATTATTCCTCTTTTTCTGTTCATCATAGATGTTTTTCTGCTGTTTTTCTGTGTTCTCGCAACGACAGGTTTCAGAAAAAGAAAGTCTGATCGCTCCTACCAATCCATGCCTACCGACAGAGAGATCTCATTGAACATTCACAGAAATATTACAATCTGTCCTGTCTGCATTGGTCAGCATTCTGATTCAAGTCAAAATATGCCAGAGAAATCATGTGGCTGATCAATGATTTCTTGAGTTGTGTGCAAAATATTAAGGGAAATTCATTTGACACTAAACGCATTTTCGGAATTTAGTTCACCCACTTGTTAGCTCCTAATGAAATGGAATACTTTAAAAAATAAATCTAAACATTCCACTAACAGCTCATGTATTTTCCTTATCTCAAACACATTCATATTTTTATTACAAGATTAAAATGAGATTTTTGTTTGATTTCTGCTTAACAGGAGGCCGAATTATACTGTCAGACTTCAATCCAGCACAAACATTCAACTTTAGGTTCCTTGTTACTACCTGACCAACAACTATTCAGAAATCCCCATATCATGTGTCAGTATGTAACACACAGTAAATGCAAACTAAAATACCTCTAATGCAACCTACCCTTCACGTACATATGATTGAAAATGTAAAGGCTGAATTCATTAACGTCCAAGATACATGTATGAAAATCACATATAATAAAAACGCTTCGATTTTGTATAGCTCCGATAGGCTAGCAAACTTTCATTCAAGTAATTCAAGACGCAAAAGACTAAGTAACTTCTCCTCTACAACATCTTCTGTGCAATCGTTCAGAAGGATAAACTATTGGTTGTTTAACATAATATAATCTGCATATGCTACTCAATCCTGATCTGTCTCTTCACAAAATGAGACCACTTACAGTAAAATACTTCACCTTTTCTTGGTCTGAATATCATGAGATTGGTCATATGTTCAGATTCATTATGGAAATTATAAGGGCATGAGTTCTTTTGTGCAATGCTCGAAAATATTGTATGAATTAATAAGTAAATAGAGTTAAGAGAGAGAGAAAGAGACAAAAAAAACAAAAACAATAAATTACATGTTGCTCAGGGAAAGAGCGCCTACAAACCTGAATAGGCCATATTTCACACAGATTCATATTTTCAGTGAGCTCCTTTCATCTACAATCCCTTTGAATCAACTTGAGAGGAAAACATTATTTGTTCTGGAAGTTGCTTTTGTTTACACACTGTTTTCATGAGCATCTTAATTCCTGCCTGATGGAGCCACAGGAAGGATTCAGCCCAACTAATTAGCATAAATTTTAGGAACTTTGTCTTTTTTTGTCAGCCTCTTTCATTCCTCGAGGCTTATGCTTGGCACTCATTCTTAAAAATAGTTTAATCTCAAGTTTGTTTCCCCTTAAAGATAAGGTAATACACATGCACATAGAGTA